TTATCTACTCGCATTTTTGCATTTTGCATGCTTTCGAACCGCTAGGTTGGTGGGAGCTGAGTCAAGCGATGGGGGCTCACTCCATTGGTAGATTTGATCTTACGACTGCAGGTCTTCTGACCGTGCAGCACAAAGGCTTCTGCGGTTTAACCCGCAGCGCCACCACCTCCCCGGATTGTATGTGGAGTACCTTTGTAGAATTGTCAGTACTGTTGCTTTAAGCTACTAGATCAAGTGAGGAGCTCTGTAAGTTTTGCATGGCAGTGTCCAAAGAAATTGGACTAGTGGATTTGTCAGTCAGATCCAGGCCTGGAACTGTAATTAGCCTAATGGATTCGAGTTATATTTTCTCCACATAGCTCAAAGCACATTGATGCAGAGTCTTCTTCCTGCTATGGTTAATTATTAAATGGTAAGAAGCCCCCAGGCCTTTTGATTTTCAGATATGCTTCCCAGATATTGGACCCTAACTCCCAGTAACTCCATCTCCAACATGGCAAATGGTAATGAGATTCTGGGAGTTATAGTTCAACAGTAGTTAGGTCCCCAAATTAGGAGCTATGGTGATGTGTATGCCATGGTGATAGAGCAGGATCCTCTCTTTGCCTTGCTTCCTGCTACTGAGCTAGGCACAAAGTCATTACCATCTCTGGAGATGTCATCCTTGCTGTTTGATTTTGTTATGCACTATATGTACTAAATGCTATAGTAACGTTTAGTGGGCTCTTGCATAATAGGTTAATTTGTTGTGATAAATTATACAATAAATGAAAAACCCTGTAGGAAATTAGAAGAAAAATCTGAAATGCCTGAGAGAATAGGAGTAGAACTGCAAATATAGGCATCATATGACCATATGGACCGCTGCTAGTTAATATAATAAAGATCTGTTTTGAGCTAGTTAAATCATTTTGATTGTTTTCTGTGGGAGCCCTGCAGGGTACACCAAGATAGCCATAGTAAGGTTAGTAAAGCATAAATAACTGCTGCCAGGCTCTGTCTATCCTGATATGGTCATAACTGGCATATCAGCCTAAACAGATAAAAGGCATTCTAAGACACTTACAGAAGTCCTGTTTGACAGCTGTGCTCCATGAGGTTGATGGTGGTGTTGGCCACAACAATTTTTCAGACATTAAAAATTTTGCTGTCATGTCCAGTAGCAGAAACGTTTCTTCTGCATGTTTACTTGCAGTCCCTACCCAGATCTGAATAAGGTAAAATTTTGAATCACACTTTAGCTACAAGGACAGAGGACCACATTTTTCATTGGTCTCTAAGTAAGATATTTACTGCATAAAATAATCTAGCATATCACACAGAAGGCAGTGGCAGAACTTCAGTTATATGCCAGTTAAGTATATCTAGGGAACATCTTATTCCAGAAAGCATTCAGCAGGGTGGTTTCCCGACCACACACAGCCTGCTGTCTCAAGTGGTTCTGTCCAGAATTCTGTTGCTTTATGCTGTGTAGAATGCCTCTGAAGCCACTGCCCTATATGCCAGGGATGAGGAAATGTAAACCACTTCTGAGATTTCTCATTTAAATTCTCTTATATGACTCTGTAACCCATATAAGGACTTGTGACATAAGGCAGGCTATAAATTTGTTAGATAGGTGGAGTCCCTGGAGAGACTGATGAAAGGTATCTGAATGAAGCTTTTGCATGGAACTAAACTGTGTTTTTTACTCTGTAGTTCTTGTTCTGGAGCCCACTCTTGAGTAGAGATGTAAAATTTCCAAAAACTTCATTTTTTTTTCCTGGGGAAAAAACAGGGGAAAATGTTTTGTTTTGTGTTTTGAAAAAATGGAAATTTGCAGAAATTTTACATCTTTGCTCTTGAGTAAGCCTGTCTAGATTTGAGAATTATGATTTGTATGCCTAGTGGGAAAACAAGTTGTAGGGAACTGGAACATCCAGTAAAAACCAAAAGATACAAAGAGAAAGAGTCTCAGGATGTCTGGAATAGGTAACAATATGTGGTGTCTTTATTGTGTGGCAAAAAGCTTAACGCGTTTCGCAGGGCCTTCATCAGAAGCTTAAAAATGAACAAAATTATAAATGTATACATATCAGGTATATTTTTATAAACTATTTTATGACTCAAGACCTGACTAACTCATCTAGTGGGAAAAAACCCAGGTAGGAGAGAGATGCCTATGGTCATTCATTTGTTTAAGCTACACTTACTGCTGATATGTATCCCCAAGGCTTTCCTAAGAGGAAATTCAGTTCCTGGATTGCAAAGAGATTCCCATCACTACCATAAACATTTACGTGAGTGAAATCACATAGATTTCTAAGTAGAGAAGCCGGGATTGCACTGTAAATCATAACACAGTACAGTGGTGCCTCGCACAACGGGCGCCTCATAGAGCGATGAATTCGCTCTACGAGGACGGTTTTGCGATCGCAAATGCGATCGCAAAACGGTGCCTGCATAGGGCGAAAATCGCTGGGATTGCACTGTAAATCATAACACAGTATTCAAGATAAAAATGCAATACAGTTTTTCATATTTCAGCGATACAAATGCAATACAGTTTTTCATATTTCAGCAGACTCTTAATCTCATGTTCAAGGATTGTTCTCACATTGGCCTACATCCTCTGTTTTCACACTGGTGTAGCACAAATGTCATCATTTTTGTGGCCAAATTTCCCCTAGTTAAGAAATCACCATAGACAGTATCAGTTTAACAGATTTGTATGACTTGGTACGCAGATGATAATGTCTGTGATTTCTTAACTTGGAACAATTTGCCTCCAAAAATTATGTATTTGCATATCTGTTCAAGAGGATTTGGGCCTGTGAGTAGCTCAAATCTATTTTTAATCCCAAAATTATGTTCAGTCTTTGTTTATTCTTCACTTAGGATTTCATGCCTAGTACTTGTTTTAATAACTTTGTAAAAGCCTCTTAGTTTTCATCCTGAGACTTTCCCTCTTTAGCTGTTCATTGCTTAAATACAATCTTTGGTTTTCCCATTAAGAGTCTTTGGTGATCTTTTTTCCGTTTATTTCCTACAGTCAAGGTTTCCAGTAGCTAGGATAGTATGGAGTGCATTGTGCCAAAATGCAGAAGTCGTTGTCATCATCAGAACTGTGATTTTTTTAAAAAGATTTTTTTAACCTCAATCTTACAGGGCTTCAGGTCCATTCATGTGTGTCAATTTCTGCTTGAATCATTAAAAAAAAAAGACTAGAGATAATAACTCTGTTGAAGTTGCTGGACCACAGCCCCCAGTGTCCCTCGCCATTAGCTGTGCTGGGACTGATAGGAGTTGCAATCCAACAGCATTGAGGGGGGCAGCACAATTGTCCATTCCTCTTCTGTATAGAAGTCAGAAATATTTAATCTCTTACTCTCACCTGAAACTATTGTCATGTGTGGCAAGGCCCAAAACCAGAATCAGATGATGTGCTTACTCTTACTCTGCTGTTGCTTAATAAGTTTGAACAACTTTTTTTGAATGTAAGGTGTGAATTTATATTCTGAACATTACATTTGCTATGGACTTTCTAAGAGACTGATTTTTCTTCAGGTTAAACTTTCAAGCCTTAACTTGGATGACCATGCAAAGAAGAAGCTCATTAAACTTGTAGGAGAGCGGTACTGCAAGGGCACAGATACCCTTACCATTACAACAGACAGGTATCGTAACATGAGAAAATTGTCTAATGTGGGTAGTTAAGATCTTAGCTACTAATGTCTATTTTTATCCATTCTTAGCAACTAGCGCTATATTACAAAGATGCTTAGTTATGAGGACTCTGAACTCTGATATGGTAAAGGCTATGAATGGCCTAGTTAATTGCCTATTGTCTTAATAGAAAATGCAAATGAATATATTTGATGGAAAACATGGTTTTTGTTTTACTTACTCATATTAATATTATGTAAAATTATATTTTTGTCTCCTTACCCTTCCCTCACATGGGGGATATTTTGATAAAGCAATAACATATTTTTATAAGCACTGTGTACTGGCAGATGCTTTAGGCAAATTTTGCTATTTTTCCAGTACTTGGAAAAATAGTATGTAAATTAAGTAAACTTAAGTAATGTGATCTGAAATTTTAAAGTTGAACATTTTGTGAAGGAAACTAAAATGATATAGTTCTCCAAGGTATTCTTTATTTTCATTTCCATTATTTAAAGCAATTGAGAGATTTAAATATTGGAGTGTATACCTTAATTTATTTGTTTTTCTTTTAGATGCCCTTTAAAGAAACAAAATTATGACTATGCAGTGTACCTTCTTACAGTTTTATTTCATGAAGCATGGGTAAGAATCTTTGTATGACCATTATGACAGCCATGCTTGATTTCTGACACATTTGTTCACTTAAATGCTATGTGTGAATAGGCTGGAATCCTCTTTGGGCAAGTTACTCCACAAATCTCCAATGATTTCATGAGCTGTGGCCAAACCACGTCTATCTTGGGAAATGAAAAGCTTCCTAACCCACCCCCTTGCCAGGCTGTAGAGATTTCCAAGGATCCTCTTCATCCTAGAAAGACTTTGGGAGCTGTGCAACAGAGCAGGGCATGATTTAAAGCCAGAAAATTTCCACAGCAGTCCTGATTGTGATGGTAACAGGATTCTGATCATTTTGTAGTTTGTTTGCGTTGATGGAAAAAGAGGAGCACTGAAAGGCCCAAATAGATCCAATTCTGGTTTAAGGCTGTGATTTGTTTTTCATAGAGAATAATAAAGCTCTTGTAGTACGAGATGCCTAGTAAAATGCCTTTTCATAAAACTCTGTGACCAACAAACATGGATATCAGGTTTAACATCATAGGTGAGCTTTCAAAATCTAAAATAGGACAGTTTAGAACTTTCCTGTTGAATGGAAAGAAAAAGCATCTACAACTCAGGAATTGACTTCTGCTTGTCCCTATCCAATATATACACTTTGGCAGTAGAGGAGCAATTGACGTACAGTGGTGCCTCACAAGACGATTGCCTCGCCAGACAAAAAACTCGCTAGACAAATTGGTCCGGCGAGTTTTTCCAGTGAGGGTTTTGGTGCCTCGCAAGACGATTCTTCCTATGGGTGTTTTTCGCACAACGAATGTGCTTGCAGAGGCTAGCCCAGCACCATTTTTTAAGACTGCGTCCTTTCCCCCTGCCTTCAGCAAGCCCCCAAATGGAAAAAGGAAAAAAAAGAAAGCCTTTTTCCATTCGGAGCCTTACCAAAGGCAGGGAGAAAGGGCACAATCTTCAAAAATGGTACTGGACAAGCCTCTGCAAGCGCTGCTGTGGCGCTTCCCTTGCACCATCAGAAGACTGGTGGGGTGGTCCCTCCAGGCGAGCGGCCCAGCACCATTTTTAAAGATCACGCCCTTTCCCCCTACCTTTGGTAAGGCTCTGAATGGAAAAAGGGGAAAAAAAGAAAGCATTTTTCCATTCGGAGCCACCTTCGGTAAGGCTCTGAATAGAAAAAGGGGAAAAAAGAAAGCATTTTTCCATTCGGAGCCTTACCGAAGGCAGGGGAAAAGGGTGTGATCTTCAAAAATGGTGCTGGACAAGCCTGTGCAAGTGCTGCTGTCCTGGAGGGACCCCCCGCCAGTCTTCCAATGGTGCAAGGGAAGCCCCGGGGGACCTCCTAAGGTGGCGATCTGGGCGATGGGGGTCTCCACCAGTCCTCTGATGGTGCTTCCCCAGCTCCCTAACTGGTAAGTGACTTAAAAAAAATTCCCATAGGACCGCATTAATTAAGTTTCAATGCATTCTTATGGGAAACCGCAGCTCGCAAGACGAAACTATCACAAGACGACATTAACCCCGGAACGGATTAATTTCGTCTTGTGAGGCACCACTGTATAGTCTGGCCGTACAGGACTAAATCCAACTGTTAGTCCCAACTAGGCCATCAAATAAATAGGACGTAAAGTCACCTTTATGTGAGCCCCATTGATTCCGATTAATAACTGGATTTAGCTGGTACTGCCCCAAAGTAAAATAAAAGTCCCTAGTTCATTCTTCTTTCCATCACCAAGGAGGCTCAGCCCCTCTTTGCAACGAACTGAGTGTCTGGCTTAGAGCACATCCTAAGAACACCTCCATCCTCTAACAGCAAGAAAAGAAGAAACACTTCACCGTTCCAGGAAAAGCTTGCCTGCCTGCCTGCCTGCACTGATCCTCTTCCTCAAACACTTCACCGTTCTAGGAAAAGCTTGCCTGCCTGCCTGCACTGATCCTCTTCCTGCAAGGCCTAGTTTTAGTGATCTCTGGATAATGGTATGGAAGGCCTTGCTGTAGAAGAGAATTCTTTTAGCTGCACTCTGTCGAACTAGGTGCTTCTTACATGTACTTTCATAAAAACAGATTTTTACGATGTTAAATGCAAAGCGTGCTGTTAAAAGCGACATTCCCCCAGCGGCTGGTGTAGAGGTGTCTACTTTAATGTAGCCATCCATACACTGATTATAAGTGCGGTAAGCTCAGCACTTGGGGTCATTAATTCCAGATGAGCACATCTGTCCTTCGCTCTAGCGTTACTTAGTGATGGAAGACTCAGCCATATGATATTTCTTGTGTGACTGCTTGGTGTGTATTGAATACACAGAAGTCCTGTGCCCTTTTATTACCTTTCAACTTCCACATGAATACTTTATGACCTCATCAGTTGTAATTGTCTTTGATTTCAATGAAAAATTCATGGCCCGCTACAACACATTGAGTGTTTTTTTTTCCATGATCAGAGGTGATCCTTCAGAAAGAAGACACTTCCATACATTTTTGGCAGCTTTAAACTTGTGGTTATTCTTAATTTCTGAGATAAAAACATGCAGGAGGAAATCTCTCCTTGGTAAGGACATTCTCAGCATAGCAACAAATTAGAATGGAACAGCATAAATGGAGAGCAGGTGTGTAGTGGCGTGTAGTGCAGAACAGGAGCAGAAAGGTCAAGGTTCAACTTCCCGATTAGTTGTGAAGCTCACTGTGTGCTTTGGGGTAAATTGTGGTCACACTGGACAAGATACCAGTGATCAAATGTCCTCTGGCCTTTCTTGTGGCTTAAGAAAAGCGGAGCAAGCCAGGCTGGGGCAGGAGGGGAAATTGAATTCCTTTCTTCTGCCCTCCTCTGCCACAGTCTGTGCTGTCACTGCTACACAAGGCATGTGAGGCAAGTCATCCTCTTCCCCTCGGGGATATGTGGCTCCTCCATCCTGCCGAACAGCTGCACACTGGGAGTTTGACTCTGACATGAATCAGGACCTCTTATGTATCCTACTACTTAGAACAATCAAGAATCCACAGAAATTGGATGTGTAAGAAGAAGCATCATCATGTTTCTCATTTCCTGCATCAGTGGAAGCTGAATTCCGCTGGGACGCAGGAATATGAGGATGACAGTGCTCTTGTGCCTTGTTTCTTAGCAGATCTAAAAGTACAATGGTGCCTCACATAGCGATCACTCCGCATAGCAAAGAAATCGCTTTGCGACGCTGTTTTTGCGATTGCAAAAGCAATCGCTTTGTGATGGCCCCTATGGGGAAAATTTGCTTTGCGATCGCAGGGAAGCTGATCGCGATCATCGCAAAGCCCCCATTTTCGCACAGCTGATCACAATCATCGCAAAGCCCCGCTGATCAGCTGTGCGAAAATGGGGGCTTTGCGA